GAAATACAGATACTGGGCTGAAACGATAGAACACCTTTCCGCAAGGTGACGATAATAGCCCTCTCGAATATGCATGGAAAAACATCTTGCACCACATTTGCGGTACCATTTACAACTCCTCAATGCCCAATTGATAACAAGTGCCCCACGTCGCATAAGATTGAGTGGAAAGGAAATGAAGGCATAAGCTTTAATAGAATAAAATCACACAATGAGGAATCAAGAGGGATGTGCTCCTAACAGCCTTGTAACCTCCCGAAGATAAGTACAGACGTCTCCGTATCGATCCGCGGGACTCTACTAGACTTGCTCATGACTCGTGAGACCTAAGTGAACCTAACGCTCTGATACCAAGCTGTCACGACCCAAAAATCTACTATAAGTCGTGATGGCGCACAACGTCGCCATTAGACAAGCCAACGGTGAACTACCAATTTTTAACTATGCAATTATTACTTTCGAAATCATGACTCTTATTAGATAAAGAAATCAACGCTTCAGAATCATGGGAACATACAATTTAAATAGAATAAATAATAAAGGTGTATCAATGCTAGGCAAAACCAAAAAAATAATTTACAGAATATCCCAAAACCCGGTGTCACAAGTGCATGAGCATTTACTAAGGAGTACAATAATAATACAACATCTGTCTGGAATATAAATAAAACGGCATAAAAAAATAGTGCGATGGAGACTCTGTAGACTACGATGCGTAGCCTGAAGTGCATCTCACATAAAGTTTCCTCAACAGTTGCGCCTACGCGCCAAGATGATCACCCAAATGAACCTGTCAGATTATGCACATTTAGTGCAAAAGTGCAGCATGAGTACGTAAATCAATGCGTACCCAGTCAGTATCTAGCCTAACCCCGGAGAAGTAGTGATGAGGGGTCGACATCGACACTTACTAGTGGTCCAATAAATCAATATGGTAAATCATAAACAGATAAGAGTACAATAATAGTAGTGATGTAAATCTTGAACTAACACAATCTTCCAAAATTTCTTTTAATGATATCAATTTCTCAATCTCATATTCTATCTCAACAGCTCAGAAATATCAAGTGCCAATATCAAACGGATAAGGAACTACCATATAAAGTGCAAGGCATCAGTGGAAGGGAAATCTCGCGAATATTTGGACTGCTAGCGATATAACACATAATTATGTCGAGGTCGTACGCCCAGATCTCAGAAAGAATATGATACTACCGAGGCGATCAGCCCGATCCCATCATAACGTGTACACAACCGAGGGTCGAGCGGCACGAACTATAGATGCATATATTATACTGTCGAGGCGAAAGGCCCGCTCTATTAAGAGTGTGGTACATAATCCTACCGAGATGTTCGACCCACTCCACAAGAAGGAAAGGAATTATCGAATTACGAGACACGGGCTTACGATATAGTATATGAACACAAGGGGAGTATAACCTTTACCGTTTCTCAAATAACTTACCAACAACTCAAGGTGATAAGGCTCGACATATATAATTTCTAAATCAAGTTCAATTATAATTTCAATTAGTTAAGCAGCAGAATGAGTTCAAATATTTCATAATAGAGTCCTAAATCTACCCGGACATAAACATGCTTTATATATGTACAGACTTTCATCACCTCGTGCGTACGCAGCACCCACAACTAGTAGCACATAACAATTACATCACCTAGGGGGCAGTTTCCCCCTTACAAGGTTAGACAGGAGACTTACCTCGCTCTGAAGTTCCATAACCAGCTCTAAACGCCTCTCTAACTCTTCAATTCAAAACCAAACGATCCGAAACTAGTCAAACAATGTGCAACTCAATCAAAATATACTCCAATGCTTATAATTAATCAATTTCTAACAATTTCCAACTCCACTCGAAAAGTCAATAAAGTCAACCCTCGGGCCCACGTTCCTGGATTCCAAAACAATTTCGAAGATAAACTTTACCCATAACATTACGAACTCAAATATATGATTTATTCCAAATTTCATGTCCAATTTCGTGGTAAAATTCCAAAAAATCAAATTCTAGGTTTTCTTCAAAATCTCACAATTTCCACCAATTTTTATGTTCCAATCCATGTATAATTCATGTATTTAACTCACAATGAGAAGAAATCACTTACCTCCTAGTTGATGATGAAAATGGTGCTCCAAAATCGTTCCCAAAGTCGGCTCCTATGAAGAAATGGAGTGAAAATGAGCCAAACCCCCGTCTTTAAAAAGACACTGCCCAACACCTCCTTCTTCGCGAACGCGACCTTATCCTCGCGTTCGCGAAGAGCATCCCTGCCCCGGCTCCAAAACTCCCCTACGCGTACGCGATGCACCGGTCGCGAATGTGGTGACCAACTCCTCCGCCCTTTCGCGAACGCGACCCCAGACACGCGAACGCGTAGAACAAACCCCTGGTGCTAACTCCTGTCTGCCTCTCTACGCGATCGCATAGACCCATTCGCGATCGCGAAGCAGTGCCTCCTCCAAGGCTTCGCGAACGCGCACCCCCAATCGCGAACGCGATGAACAAAATGGCCAAATGCCCCACAGACCTATGCGAACACGATCCTTTCTTCGCGAACGCGAAGAAGAACGCACCAGACCTCAACAAACAGCAATCCAAACATAGCGAAAAGACCCGTAGCCCCTCCGAAACTCACGCGAGGCCCCTCGGACACCGTCCGATCACACCAACAAGTACCAATACATGACGCAAATATGCTCGAGGCCTCAAATCACACCAAACAACATCAAAACTATAAATCGGCGATCGAAACCTTTCTTTAAACTTTCAAACTTCGACGAACGCGTCTGATTCATACTTAAACAATTCCGGAATGAAGCCAAACTTTACGTACAAGTCATAAATCACAATACGAACCTATTCCAAGGCTCGGAACCCCAAATGAACATCGATATCACCAAAGTCCACCTCAAACCAAACTTAAGAAATTCTAAAACGTTCAAAATGCCAACTTTCCACAATAAGCGCCGAAATGCTCCCGGGCGACCCGATACTCAACCCGAACACGCTCAAGTCCGAAATCATCATACGAACCTATTGGAACCTTCAAATCCCGATTCCGAGGTTGTTTACTCAAAGGACAAATCTTAGTCAATTTTTTCAACTTAAGCTTCCGAAATTTGAATTTTACATCCGAATCAACTCTGAACTTCCCGAAATTCAATTCCGACTACGCGTACAAGTCATAAAATATGAAGTGAAGCTACTCAAGGCCTCAAACCGTCGAGTGACGCGCTAGAGCTCAAAATGACCGGTCGAATCGTTACACTACAACACTCCCAAACACATGCACTCGTGACTGAAAATTTAAAGTTTGCACAAATAATTACCCAATGATGACGGAAGAAGAAGAGAAGAAGAAAGTACGTTTTTTATGTTGGAAAACTTTACAAAATAACTCCCTATATAGGTGTGCTTTTGAAGTAGTTACAAGAAGTAGGAGTAATGGATTAATGAGTGTTACAAAATTTGAAGGGTTGTTACAAAGAATTAAGAAGACTGCTACAGAATTTAAGTAGCAGTTATAAGAATTCAAGTTTAGAACGAAGCTGGTCATATTCTTGTCACGTGTATATATAAATTTGTACACTTATTTGATAGGCTAAAAAATATTTAAAATATTTTTGCAAAATCAAATTTAGATTAGGCCTTAATATATCTCGCGCACATGGGGGCATATTGACTTTTTTTTGCCTTCAGGACCAACTTCTCATGTGCTCGAGGCCATTCCCTTTTGCTAGCTCTTTACAAACCCAATAAAAAATAACTTAATATAAAAAGAAGAAGGAAACTTTTCACAACGAATTATAGACTTTTGTCTTTCATAAAAGATAAAAAAAGTAACGGGAAAAAAAAAAATCCACAAAAAAATCTTCGACTTTGGCTTACTATTTATTAATAATACCAATACATATTCCTTTTTTCTCAAAGAGGTAGAAGCAATTGAAAATTGAAAGAAATTAATATGTAGGTCATTAATTACATTACATTATAATCAATAAATTACTAATTCATATATTACTAGTCCTGACATAACTAATCCCTCTATATTAAATCATACATAACTATATTCTGCATAACTAATTCTTATAAAATCATGTACAATTATTTTATGTATAATTAATTCATATATTACTAATATCAGCATAACTTTAACTAGCAAGCATCTATAAGAAGACGAGAGAGTTAAGAGGAAGGATTTGTTGGGTGCAAAAGCTACTCCAGAAGAAAAAGCTCATGCAATCAGTGTTTTAAAAGGCGTTTTCGGGGTGAGCCCTGGGGCGAGGCGCACCAAAAATGCCTCGAGGCGATAGTGTGGGGCAAAAGTCTCAAGAGGCGTACGCCCAACAATTTGGGGTGTACGTCCGGGCGTTCGGGGCGTATGCCCGGGCGGTTGAGGCGCGTTTTTTTATTGAGGCGCAAGCCCCAGAGACTTTTTCAAATTAAAACAAAATTTATTGAATAAGTCCTTCATATAATACCCAAATTCTCAAAAGTCAGCTTGGTAATTACTCAAAATTTTTAAAAAGGAACTGAAATGTATTAAATTTAAAAGTCAAGACCTTTTTTTTATTGATTGAATCCCTAATTTATGATTTTTCTCAATTCTTTATCTTGTCAGCTAATTTGTTAATATCTCTAAAAAGCAAAGAATATTCAATTTTTTTTTTACAAATGCAAAAAGAACTTCATTCTCCTTCACAATAGCAAGTTCAAAGTTCAAATTGTAGGTTAGTCATTCTTTTTGTTCTTCCATATAGAAAACTTTATTCTTTTAGACTCAAGTTACTTGTGCTTATAAGTAACGTGTGTGTATATATATATATATATATATATATATATATATATATATATATATTATTTTAATTTTTATATAATTTTACGTGTTTATAAATATTTATTATAATTATATTATTTTATAAAATATTATAACCCTAGTACCCGTGGCTTACGCTTTCCTGAAAATGATTCGCTTACGCCACACCTTTTAAAACACAGCAACTAACAGCAATTTGGGGGCTCCTTTTAACGACTATCAAGCCCTAAAACTCTACGAAACAAACATGGCAGTTTCTTTCATAGTTAAAGCTTCCATCCAGCTTCATTGTCGAGCCATTTTCATTCCCTGGTCAGTAGTTTCCCACACTTGGGTTTTATCTTGAAGAAATTTTATCATTCTTTACCCTATTTAAGTTCTTTACTAGCAGCTGCAACCATGTTTGCTAGAGTTCTGGCTATTGAATGTTCATACATATTACTGCATTTGTTGATTTATAGTAAGTATCTTGGTAAGCTGACAACTTTTTTTGAAGTGCTTCTGTGAATCTGCAACGTGGGTTGTTTAAGCAAAGGTTTGATTTTTTAAGCAAAACATGACCATAGAAAAGATTACCCAGTTCATTTTCCAAATTACGGAGATGGGTTTGATTTTTAGGAAAATATGACCAAAGAAAAGATAACAGCAGTTCATTGTCCCAAATTATTGAAATGGGTATTTGTGTTAAGTGGGGTTTTTAAGCAAAGGTTTGATCTTTAGTATATATACGACCACAGAAAGAGATTACAGCAGTTCATTATTCAAATTCTTGAAATCGGTACTTGTGTAAGTGGATTTGTGAAGAAAAGGTTTGAGTTTTAGGCCAAAGGTGACCATCAAAAGATTATGATAGTTCACTCTCCAAATTTTTTGAAATAGGCCCTTTGTGTTAGGTGGGTTGGTTAACCAAAGGTTTGATTTTTAGACCAAATATGACCATATGAAAGGATAGAGCAGTTTGTTGTCCAAATTCATTAAATGGGTACTCTATGACATGAGTTTCTTAAGCAAACGTTTGATATGGATGGACATGACCGTAGAAAAGATTAGCGTTGTTCATTCTTCAAATCTCCAAATCGGTACTTGTCTTACATGGCTCTGTTAAGCAAAGGTCAATTTTTAGGCAAACATGGCCATGGAAAAGATTAAAGCAGTTTATACTCAAAATTCTCGAATATGGTAGTTGTGTCACATGGTTTAGTTAAGCACACTTTTGATTTTTAGGGCAAATATGGGCATAGAAAATATTACAGCAGTTCATTCTCTAATTTATCAAAATGGGCATATAACTATGGTATGTAATATATGTATGTTTCCGTGTATGTTACTGTCGAGAAACAGTTTGATTTAATATGATATGATTTTTAGGGTGCAGAAGTTCAGTGCCATAAGCTGCTCCAGAGGCAGAGATTATAGCGTATTTCCAGTCCGGCACATTCCCAAGAAATCTAAAGAATGCCAAGAGTTGGAAGCTGCTTCACCAAGGAAGCACTTTTTGGACATAGAAAAGCAGAGTTACGTGGACAGGAATGTTCAGGAAACTGAATTTTCTGTTGGTGGAAGGTTGAAGAATGGAGGCATATCTTTTAATTCCAAGTCTCAAAATCATAAACAAAGGCTTCTGACCAGCGTAGACAATGAGGTTGAATGGGGTATGGTTGGATTTATCCATGCCTCTGTTGTTCTTACCTGTAGTGAAACTCATATTATAATGCAGCATTCAAACTGTGGAAAATGAGAAATTAAGAGGTTATTATGGAATTTCAGGGAAGGAAGATGAAGTTAATGCAGATTTTAGGCTTGGGCGCGGTATAGCCGAAACTGATAAAGCTAGAGTAGATGCAGAAAGGATAGCAGTTCAATTACTTGCTTCAAGGTTAGAATATTAAATGTCTTATATCTCTTTATCTGGTCGTTATTTATTTGCTTTGACTATTATTTGCTACTGCGCTGATCTGACTTCCGACCTGATCTTTTCAAGTGGTGTTGAAGACTCTAAGCGCATATTAGATGGATAAACATTCATTTCCTTCATTATATGTGTGCATAGAGCTGTATGAGTGTGGCTTTCAGTGAGAGAATGATGTGCCAATGATGAAACTGTTAAACCTTTGTTGATGCACATGAATTCTCTTTCCAGTCAGTGAAGCTGAGAAAAGAAGCCCTTAGACTGATGCAAATGGAGTTTCTTCTGATGCATGTATTTTTTTAACTGTGCAGAGCACTTACGGCTGCAGAAGTGAAGAAGAAACTCCTGGGAAGAAAGTTTACAATCAGTGTTGTTAATGCTGTAATTACAGATTTCCATACCAGGTAAATCGAACTGCCATCAAGATATTCTCCATCATTCGGTCTTTGGTAACACATAGATGTTATTTCAAATCACAGTCATATTTTGGCTATTGATGCACATTTGTCACTTGTTCACTTACATTGTTCTACTGTTATCTAGACGTTAAGTGGTACACTTAGACTTGCTAAAAGGAAAATTAGTAGAAGAAGAAGATAGTGCCATAGGTTTTGTGTCATTTCCGAGTTGGTAATTCCTGGCTCAATCTTAATTTCACCATAATGACCTCATTTTTATTTGTTCCGTGTGTTGCCCTAGGGGTTTAATCAATGACAGTCTGTATGCTGAAATGTTTTCTCGGTCCAGATGGTCTTCCTCAAGTTGGGGTCCAAGACGAATCAAGCAAGTAAATTTTCCTCTTTGTCAACTACTTCTCTGAAGGAGATTTTGAACTTACTTTTTTATGCTTCTGTATAGAGTGAATTGGTTGTACGGTTCCAAACTAATGGGTTTCTCACCTACCTTTTTTTTTTCATTTTGACTTGGTCTTGTTTGGGCTAGTGTTGGAGAGCAGTTAGTAAATCACTTGCTGAATTTCCCTTGGGTAATCTGGAATTTTTCTTTTTCGATCCACTTAGGAGGACACAGGAGCATATATGTTTCTTATTACATCCAAACTTGAGTACTTAACAAAAAGAACTAAATAATTTTAACATTGTTAGTATAGTGCAATTATGGAGGCACAGTGTGTTATTTAGTTATGATGTTCCAACCATGTGGTCCTTTATTAGTTCTTTGAGCAGTTACACTCTTTTCTTCTCACCTCCATTTTATTATACAGAGGGGTAGCTTTGGTTTTGTTCTGCTTTTGTCATAACCCTATTGAACGTCCTTGTCATTTTACGGATTAGGCCTTGATCAAGAAGGGTGTAAGCGAAGCGGATGCAGAGAAGGCCGTAAAATTGGTCTTCAAGAATGACGAAGCTGTTGAAGAGGAAGACTCAGGACAATCAGTAGTTACTATGTCGAGACCTTCTCTGGATCAATTGTTTGTCCAGGCATCTAAGCAGTGGCTTAAAGGGCAGGGTGTGCCTAGAGAAAAACGTAAAGCAAGGATTGTTCGTTGGCTTCAGTACCGTGGCTTTGATTGGAGTGTGGTTAGTTTCATACTTAAGAAGTTAGAATCCAGCTATCCTGAGTAGAGCCCCATTACACAGCGAAAGGGATTATGATGATTTTGTTTGCTGTTGCCATTGGAGTGTGGTTAGTTTCATACTTAAGAAGTTAGAATCCAGCTATCCTGAGTAGAGCCCCATTACACAGCGAAAGGGATTATGATGATTTTGTTTGCTGTTGCCATTGGAGTGTGGTTAGTTTCATACTTAAGAAGTTAGAATCCAGCTATCCTGAGTAGAGCCCCATTACACAGCGAAAGGGATTATGATGATTTTGTTTGCTGTTGCCATTGGAGTGTGGTTAGTTTCATACTTAAGAAGTTAGAATCCAGCTATCCTGAGTAGAGCCCCATTACACAGCGAAAGGGATTATGATGATTTTGTTTGCTGTTGCCATTGGAGTGTGGTTAGTTTCATACTTAAGAAGTTAGAATCCAGCTATCCTGAGTAGAGCCCCATTACACAGCGAAAGGGATTATGATGATTTTGTTTGCTGTTGCCATTGCTGGATGAAGTAGGCAAGAGCACTGCTTCCAACTGTAAAATGGCTCTTAGTGGAAGTACAAGAAAATGGATCAGTTATTCAGTCTAGGGCTGTTCAAAACCGAACCATAACCGTTAACCAAACCGATTGGCTTATTGGTATCAGGTTATCGGGGTAATGGTTGGTGAACGGATTGAAATTTTATAATTAACGGTTTAACGGTTTGGGGGCGAATTACTCAATTTCCTTATCGGATAAACGTTAACCCGTTAAGAATTTTTATATTTATACTTTTACCCCTATGTATATAAAGTAATATTTGATGTATGATTGGATTTGATGGTAAGTAACAGATGTAGACGTTGATGTATGATTAGATGTTTGATTTTTCTATGGAAATGGTATTTAAAATCATGCTGGAGAATAAACCTTGGATATTTAAATTTTGCTTATTCATATTAATAGATAATGATAAATTTTCGAATATGTGGAACTGTAGACCACCTTGGACCCAGGGACTGATGATTCACTAGTAGTTTCTTCTTGTTGCCATCCCTTGATTTGAGTTATTTTGTCCCTTCTCATGTGTTTGGTTGTTGTAGGTCTTTGTCACGGGTAAAAAATCGTGGCGCTTCTCTCTTTAATGGGGCAGGAATTGGATTAATTGGGCCAGTGAGTTCCAGATAGGGACCTTTTATTCAAATAACTGGTTCTATTTAATGTTTACTTTTTCTAATCGTTTTATNAATTCTTCTCCCGAGCGGATTATCGAATGTTTATACCAAAAAAGAAAACATATTTATCTCCTGGATGAATATGTAATACTCGCCCACCTTGCTAGGGATAAATTTTACTTATTAAACTGTCTTCAAACAAATGGTATCATGGTACTACATAAACCCACATTATGGGGGTAAATTCCAACTTGAACTCGAAGTTGAGTGACATTCATCCCCTACGAGCAAGCATACTAATTGCTTAAAAGCTTCTCTCAGAAATCACATGAGCATGTGATGGGGCCAACTCATTGTTGGCAGCTGGACTATTTCTTGCAATACACTTGGGAATCTTATTTCTATTCAATAAATTCAAGGTACATAAGTCCAAGAACCTCCCTCCAATGATTGCCTCACTTTCCACATGTCTATACTGTTTCTTAACCCTCATACAAGTTGATAGTTGAAGTATTTATGGTAATCGTGGACACGAGTTCAAATTCCGACAGAGAATTAAGTAATTTTCTTTCCATTTGCATAAGCTTTATTAAACAGAGTTATCTGATATTTGTGTTGGGGTAAAGTAACAAGTCTCGGTGAAAGTGGAATATGATGGGTCCATCTCATTCAATAGCCAAAGTAATAGGCATGTGCCTAAGGAAAGTTTTTTTGGTTTGGTTGCCAACTTTGTTGAATTTCTTTGGTTTGGTTTTGGTTGCCAACTTTGTTGAATTTCTTTGGTTTGGTAGCCAACTTTGTTGAATTTCTTTGGGTTGGTAGCCAACTTTGTTGAATTATCAACATTGAAGAAAAAGAAGAAAAAGTGTGTGCAAATTATCAAATATAGAGGGTGAGGCTTCGGCTATAAAAGGAGAGCTTCAACTCTCATTTCTACACACCAACAAAGAGAGAAAGAAAGAGTGAGGTTTCACAGACAAGGTATAAGAAAATAGTCTGTGAGAAAAATAGAGAGTGAGCGATATTGTAGTGAGGTGAGAATATCAAAAGAGGGTTATTTCTTTTGAGTGTTGTAGTGGTCTTTGGAGTATTTTACTCGGACCTACAAAGTGTAAAATTCCTTGCTATAGTGATATTAGTTGCTCGTCTCGGGGCCGTGGTTTTTTCCCTTATTCAAAGGGTTTTTCACCTAAAAATCTTGGTGTCGTTGTCACTCTTTTATTCGTGTTAATTACCGTATCTCGGTGCTACGTGATTATTCCGCTTTTATTACTGTGAATATTATTTCTGTAGGGGATTTATTCCCAACAACTGGTATCAGAGCACAGGTTCTGCTCGTTCACAGAAATACTATTCACTGTCGGTAGTATTATACTCGATGAAAAATAAAAATGTCCGGAGTAAAGTACGAGGTAGCAAAATTTAACGGAGATAGAGGTTTCTCAACATGGCAAAGAAGGATGAGGGATCTGCTCATCCAACAAGGATTACACAAGGTACTAGATGGTGATGCCAAAAAGCATGATACCATGAAAGCTGAGGATTGGGCTGACTTGGATGAAAGGGCTGCTAGTGCAATCATGTTGCACTTATCAGATGATGTAGTAAATAACATCATTGATGAAGACACCGCACGTAGCATTTGGACAAGGTTGGAAAGCCTATACATATCCAAAATGCTGACAAAAAAATTATACCTCAAGAAGCACCTATACGCCCTACACATGGGTGAAGGTACGAATTTTTTGTCACATTTAAATGTGTTTAACGGAATAATCATACAGCTCGCCAACCTCGGAGTGAAAATCAAGGAAGAAGATAAAGCCATCTTGTTGTTGAACTCGTTGCCATCTTCGTACAATAATCTGGCAACAACCATCCTGCACTGTAAGACTACCATTGAGTTGAAAGATGTCACATCGGCTCTTCTACTCAATGAGAAGATGAGAAAGAAGCCTGAAAATCAAGGACATGCTCTCATCACAGAAGGTAGAGGCAGGAGTTATCAAAGGAATTCGAGCAACTATAGTAGATCCGGAGCTCGTGGGAATTCTAAGAACCGATCCAAATCAAGAGCTAAAAATTGCTACAATTGTGATCAACCAGGTCACTTCAAAAGAGATTACCCAAATCCAAGGAAGGGCAAAGGTGAAACTAGTGGCCAGAAAAATGACGACAACACAGCCGCCATGGTGCAAAACAATGATAATGTTATCCTCTGTATAAATGAGGAAGAGGAATGCATGCACTTATCAGGTCCAGAGTCGGAATGGGTAGTTGATACAACAGCATCTTACCATGCCACACCGGTAAGAGATCTTTTTTTGCAGATATGTAGCAGGTGATTTCGGCCTTATAAGAATGGGTAACACAAGTTACTCAAAAATTGCGGGGATTGGTGACATTTGTATCAAAACAAATGTCGAATGCACATTGGTTCTGAAGGAGGTGCGACATGTACCTGATTTGAGGATGAACTTGATCTCGGGAATTGCTTTAGACCGAGATGCATATGAGAATTATTTTGCAAATCAAAAGTGAAGACTCACCAAGGGATCATTGGTGATTGCAAAGGGAGTTGCTCATGGCACGTTATACAGGACAAATGCATAAACATGCCAAGGTGAATTGAACGCAGCACAAGATGAGATTTCTGCAGATTTGTGGCACAAAAGGATGGGTCATATGGGTGAGAAGGGATTGCATATTCTTTCCAAGAAATCACTCATTTCTTATGCCAAGGGTATAACGGTAAAACCTTGTGACTACTGTTTATTTGGTAAGCAGCATAGAGTCTCATTTCAGACATTATCTGAAAGAAAACTGAATATACTTGATTTGGTATATTTTGATATTTGTGGTCCAATGGAAATTGAATCGATGGGCGGTAATAAATATTTTGTTAATTTTATTGATGATGCTTCACGAAAATTATGGGTTTATATTTTGAAAACCAAAGATCAGATGTTTCAAGTTTTTCAGAAGTTTAATGCTCTGGTGGAAAGGGAGACAGGACAAAAGCTAAAGTGTCTCCGAAGTGACAATGGAGGTGAGTACACTTCAAGGGAATTTGAAGAGTATTGTTCGAGCCATGGGATCAAACATGAAAAGACAATTCCTGGAACCCCACAACACAATGGCGAAGCCGAAAGGATGAACCGCACCATTGTGGAGAAGGTGAGAAGCATGCTCAGAATGGCTAAACTGCCTAAGTCATTCTGGGGTGAAGCAGTTCAGACAGCCTGTTACCTGATCAATAGTGGTCCATTAATTACGTTGGCGTTTGACATCCCAGAGAAAGTTTGGACCAACAAGGAGGTGTCCTACTCGCATATAAAGGTGTTCGGTTGCAGAGCTTTTGCACATGTACCAAAGGAGCAGAGAACAAAGTTGGATGATAAATATGTTCCCTGTATATTCATCGGATACATAGATGAAGAGTTCGGATACAGATTGTGGAATCCTGTAAAGAAGAAGGTCATCAGAAGCAGAGATGTAGTCTTCCGAGAAAGTGAAGTTGGAACTGCTGATGATATGTCAGAGAAGGCCAAGAATAGTGTAATTCCTAACCTTGTTTCCATTCCTTCTTCTTCTAACTATCCCACAAGTACAGAAAGTACGACCGACGAGGTTGCCGAGCAGGGGGAGCAACCTGATGTGGTTATTGAGCAGGAGGAGCAACTTGATGATGGTGTCGAGCAAGTGGAGCACCCCACTCAGGAAGAACAACAACCTTAACCTCTGAGGAGATCAGAGAGGCCAAGGGTAGAGTCATGTAAATACCCTTCCACGGAGTATGTCCTCATTGGTGATGAAGGGGAGCCAGAAAGTCTTAAGGAGGTGTTGTCTCATCCAGAAAAGAACCAGTGGATGAAAGCCATGCAAGAAGAGATGGAATCTCTACAGAAAAATGGCACGTACAAGCTGGTTGAACTTCCAAAGGGAAAAAGACCACTCAAATGCAAATGGGTCTTTAAACTCAGGAAAGATGAAAATNGTACAAGCTGGTTGAACTTCCAAAGGGAAAAAGACCACTCAGATGCAAATGGGTATTTAAACTCAAGAAAGATGGAAATGGCAAGCTTGTCAGATACAAAGCTCGATTGGTGGTAAAAGGCTTCGAGCAGAAGAAAGGTATTGATTATGACGAAATTTTCTCACCTGTTGTCAAAATGACTTCTATTCGAACAATCTTGAGCTTAGCAGCTAGCTTAGATCTTGAAGTGGAGCAGTTGGACATGAGAACTGCATTTCTTCACGGAGATTTGGAAGAGGAGATCTATATGGAGCAGCCAGAAGGATTTGAAGTAACTGAAAGGAAACACATGGTGTGCAAACTGAATAAGAGTCTTTATGGGTTGAAGTAGGCACCAAGGCAGTGGTACAAGAAGTTTGACTCATTCATGAAAAGTCAAACTTACACAAAGACATATTCTAATCCATGTGTATACTTCAAAAGATTTTCTGAAAATAACTTTATTATATTGTTGTTGTATGTGGATGACATGTTAATTGTAGGAAAAGACAAGGGGCTGATCGCAGAGTTGAAGGGAGATTTGTACAAGTCATTTGATATGAAGGACTTGGGCCCAACACAACAAATTCTAGGTATGAAGATAGTTCGAGAGCGAACAAGCCAAAAACTGCATTTACAAAATACTTTTATAAACCTAGGATTAACTCTAATCCCGTTGTGGCAACCAGCCTCTAACTATTGCGACAACTTCAAGTTAACTCTAACTTGAATACT